GAATAATGAAGTCGTCGCTCCGATATTCATTTGATAAAAGGTGGTAAATTCATAAAAATTGAAGTAAGCCAAGAATCAAAATGTATTGATGTTGATAAACATTTATAGGAATTTCATTATTTTTATACCAAAGGTTACACTTCAAATTAAATTAATTTTTTTGTGAGTATAATGAAGTCGTTATTTCAACATTCAGTTAAGATTTTTTATCACACCTGAAAATATTTCACTTTGAACTATGTGGTTTTATAAGATTAAAAGTGGTGAATTTCTAAATAATCCGAAACAAGTCAAGAGTCAAACTTTATTGATATTAACTAAAATGTTTAAGGTGATTGTTTGCGTGGTATTAGTCAATCCTTTTAATGTCTCCTAGATTTACAACAAATAATACAGTCATCAGTTTGATCTCCACTCAGTGGACAACTTGTGACAATTTGAGATGTAATGTGACGTGTGGTTAATATTACGCTACATTTGAAAGTGATTAAAGGAAATTTGCGTAGAAAGTCATCAACAGAATTTCATACAACAAAAATCTTAAGACATTTCCAGCGACTAAAGGAAGTGAATTAGCGTAGATTGTAGTAAGTTGAGAAATACACGAAATGATGAACAACGAAGTTATAATATCCTGATTATTCAAGTGCATAAGAATTTGTTGCTAAACTCTGTAAACTGAGTCGTCTAAAATTCTGTATTTATGTCCACCTCCAGTAATCTCGCCAGCATAACAACATGACTGGTATTATTTTTATGTCAAACTGCATATATCAGCACACGACCGTTGATGAGTTGCCAAAGCAAAAATGAATATGTTTGTTATTTTTATAAACAATAGTCTCAACATGGATAGCATTTTGAATAGACTCAATAATTCCCACTCTAGGCATACCGAGTATTTTTCCATGTCCCTTTCCAACCATTATCATTTTGTAAAGAGCTATCTGTTGCCATCGTAGGTGCTATTCGTATGCAGCTGTGCATTGTGATGCAGAGATTGGCTGCTTGCGTTGAGACTATAATGCGTCAATTTAAAACATCACTGACACTATCCGAATTTCTGATTCAATTACACTAATAACCCGACGAAATAACACAATTTCATTAATCAATACATGGTACATAGATAATGAGTGTACTACGGAACCATCTATGGGTTTTTGTCTACAAACACTTAGCTACCTTCATTTTTATAAATTAATAATTCATCCAACGTCTCAGCGTTAACAATACGTAATCATATCTTCGAAAACTTACCTTTGCTCATACCCATCCTGGGATGGTTTCCAACTTAGAATTATCGGAAGAGAATCTCAAGGGTGTTTCCTGCGTTTTGCATTTAAATTAACTGCGCCAAGTGATTTACTGTCCATTTATATTTCAATCTCACATCCTTCTCACCAAGTAAATGTCTGCTTGTAAAAAGCTCTGTATTAACATAATATCCCAAACAGGCCGGTCTCATTGTCGTACTGGTCTAACTTTACGGCGGAAAAAATGAGATGTACAGATGAATAACACTCTACTCACGTTACCTGTTGTTGAGTGTGATCAGTATAGCGGTCTAGAAAGAAGAACATTTTTAAGCACTGCGTGGTATGTCCAAATTCGGAAACTTTGTCAGCTCCCAGAAACAATCACACTTATATGGTTCTTTTTTGCAAGCTGTAGCCATTCTCATCATACTGACATTCAACATTAATTAGGCTAGTTTATGTCACGATACGACAACAATGTAACGATTAATACACTAAACGAAGGTCACTAGATATATTCTGAAACATTCAGAACCGATAATATGGAATATACACTCAGGATGTATCCATTTGAAATTTTCACAGCTGATACACCCCGGGAGGAATACATTCTTCAAAGGAATACTTATCAGTGAAGACGGGTGCATTTATTTATTATGCGAATCATATTTCTTAAATTGTGAGACTCTACATGAATATGTATCTAAAGAAATGAGTATCTATCTAATACCTATATCAAGCTGATCAACCTAGAATAAGTGGGAATTATCCATCTGAAGATTGTGTAGAATATGAGTAGAAGTTCAGATTTGGAGTACAAAGATTGTTTCTGCTAAAAGCATGGAAAGTAAACTGCCACCACTATTCCAGTAGTATATATTAACTTTGTACAATGTACTGAATTTCTGGGTATCAACGCGTATTGACACTACAAAATCAGCCACAACAATTCGTCTCAGCATAATATCGAACGATCGAATGAATTATCTTCATTTCTGTAATTGGTTGTTTTTACCTGTTGTGTGTCCTACAAATGATCGTTCTTATTAACTTACACAACTACATGATTAGTGTATTTTGATGTGATTCCATAATTATTAGTGTAGAACAGTTTAAGGAGAACTAATGGAAAGTGAATATTCCATTCCTCTCAATTTGTTGTTTCTAAAAATCTGGAGTCGGTTTGAATACGTAATGTACCTTATCGGTAAGTCACATTTATCAGATATCTATATATGATACATCGATAATTTATCGCAAGATTTAAGTGGAAATATACCACTTAATAGAGGAGATGTAAGCGACGTTATAACCATAATTATTAATACTTATTTTAACACTTTTATTTTCAGATCGAATGAATGAAGTGAGAAAAAGACTGTCGCCAACGTCTGTAAAAGAACAGGCCAACTGTTTATCCTTCTCGGTATCTTGAAGTTTCTTTTGTAATTGAATAAATATTTCGTGGTAAGTTCGCTAGCTACACGCCTAATATCCCGCATTTTACGGAGTAGGAACTACTGAACTAAGAGGAATTAATAGATATTTTTCTTTATATCTAAGATGAGTAACCCAGAATATATATTTTATTTCCCAGACTATGAACACTTGAAGATAACAACATAGTAATCGCAATCATTTGAAATTCTTCCGAATTTAGTCGCCATTTGGCATTAGACAGACAGACAGCCAGTGAGAAACCATGTGATAATCGACACTGTTTAATTCTACTCTGGAAACGGTTCGTCAGCAGCACACAGTTATATTCACTGATGTCACTTCGAGCACAATTTATTGCTCATCATCATATCAAGTGACACTGGGAGACTTTGTCAAAATAAATTTTTTCTCCATAATGTGATTTATCAGCATCTGCCTTCCCTCGATACTGAAGATCAGGTTGCAGGTCACAAAGGATTAGCAAAATGGAGATTAGTCAACAAATCAACCAAATGTATATCGCCTAACTAATATTCAAAGGATATGAAGATGGGTTAGACATACACCGAGGAGACTGATGAATAGCATGAGGAGTCACACGATCTTCCCAGTGGAAGCCAAATGGGAAAAAATGAGTCAAGTGTTCGATGGACGAGGAGATACGAGCTACAGTCACTTGAATATACTGCAGTGCACAAAGCAAAACGGTGATGTACTGCTGAAGGCCTATGTTTCACTCAAAACTTGGATCAATTTAGTGTATTCTGAGTAACAGATGATCACTAGGGATAGATAAGGAACAGAGTACTTAGGTGGTGAATTAAAAATTTGATTAGAGTTATTCATTCTGTACTCATTCAAAATATATAAAATAACAATAACAACAATTCACCAACCACACAAGGCCAGAATATATTTACAGAGATCAATATACCAATGTAAGTTTAAAAATTGTTCAAAGTACAATAAATGCAGCTACACACTACGCATATACACTGTTCTGATGCACACTGAATCATATAAGTGAGTGAATTGAAGGTGTTAACAGCACTGAAATCAATTTAGAGTTAGGTGAGTTTAGATATCGATGAATTTCAAAAGTTTTGCTGATAATTTATCGTGGAATATTTGTCAGTTGATGTTTGTGATTTTTAAGACACTGCCTGGTAACATAAAATGTGCAATGGAATGACAATTCCAGTTGATCATAACGATGCTGAAAATAATAACCGAACTGGATTTTCAGAACAACATGTTGACCAGATTCCACTTCGATTCATGTAACTCATTGACACTTACGTGGTTGACAAAAGTGTTTCCTTCTACAACTCTGATGGAGGTCAACTTACCCCGAATACAGAAACAGTCAGGTGTTTAAAGATGCAGCGGGAATATAATGAAGCATTGATATGCTCACAAGGAAATATAATGAAGAATGGATTACACAGATTATTGCCAATACCCATAGCTTAGAATCCACCGTTGATTGAGTGATTGCTATTCATCCTGAGATTTGTATTATAGGTGATTCTGGACACCGAAATAGCGATGATGAAATATTATGGAACCGGTTATCACTTGAAAGTGAGTGAATGGATGATGAAGAGTAAGGTATGAAAGATCGTTTCGGTCAGTATGTGTAATAAAGCTGAGAGTATGTAAGGTTACACGCCATGAACCAAACGTAACAAACCAAACAGTACTTTCGCCAAGACGCTCAAGAAATTCATGAGTGGTGTTATTCTTCGGCGTAATGATGGTAATAACATTTCCACTGAGAAGCAGCCCAGTCTAAGGATATATCATACCTTCAGTGCCAAAATTGTTCACGTTGGATTTCTCATTTAGACATGCAAAAATACTTAGGAAGTCTAAGAATAAGCAAAGACGGGATTAAGGATTACGTTAAACAATCTTTTTAGAGTACGCATGCTAATAGTTCTTCAAAACACAGTCAAGTCATCTACATTTGGTAGTCATCTGTGAACATTCTGAGCTGGACCAGTAGAATTAGTCTTCAAAGCAACTTGTTGAAGAGCATTTGAATCCATTGAAAACAATTTAAGGGGTTCACTATAAACCGAAATAGAAAGGTGATTGCACCGCTGGATTCTACTATCTTCCAGAATTTGTGAGCTGTAATAGCCTGAGATATCATCCTTGAAATCAGTGCTCATCTTTAATTCGAAAATGAATTCCGTGCAATCTACCTAGTGTCACAAACACTTATCTTTCACAATTTGCATTCAAATAGTTTAGATATTTCGATTATTCATTAGACAGAGAGCTCATTTTTGGACTATGCAGGAAGTAAACATGAACCAAAAACTGAAGGTTTGTTGAAACATCTGCACTGCTTTATTCATAGGATACAAACCTCCCATTTACCGCTGCAGTAACCTGTCTTCGAAAGGTAAGCGTATTTATGTATTTATAGTGTAACATGTTATCAAATCAAGTACATCACTTTTACGTGTTTAATGCATTTGATGACAATGATCACTACGACCTGTGTAGCATATTTGTAAGTCTGTATTGTAATTCTTTATCTACACACTGTTGATTTTAGTGGAACGCTTCAGCATTTGTACAGCGCTTTTTACATCCCACTGGTTTTTCTGTGAGTTATTTGATGTCAATTATAACATTTGTTTCTTTGTGATTGTTTAATAATAGTTTTCGGATAGTTTCATGAGGATTATTCTGATTGCGCTTCTGAATAATACTGACTGACGGTGGAATCTAGGACTCGGATTTCTCTTTTTTCGGACTCGTTAGCAAGATGCAACTGTATTTTTAGTAATAACCGGTGCTTCCTTTGACCTCTGAATCAAGTGGTGGTCGCTCACACATGATAGACACTTCGTGTATCACGGTATCAATTACTATTTGTTGAATTAAAGTTGAGACAGTTTTTGGCCACTGTTGACTTTATAAAGGATGCTTCGTCAGTGTTCGTGGATAAATACGTTATACGTTATATGGTGGATATAAAATGAGAGCTACGGTCAAATGGAATCGCCCAACCGGATCTACAAAATTATTTTAAGCTAGACAACAGTTACTTGACTTTAATTTTTGTTTCAATGGTGTGTCAGAATGTGCTCTATAATCACTCCACGAACTCTTATAACCGAAAGTAGTTGTAACTAACTTTGCGTTGATTGAAACAACGATGATATGATGATTGAACGCTAGTCACCATCAAACCTGCTTTTAAATCTTTGTGAAAAGTCGATGTATTATGTTTTTGATTTTCTCTATTCAACCAATTCTATTATTTTTCTTTTCCAGCGTACTCGGTGCAGTTCCCGTGTCACTGTTATTCGTTATTACGAAACTTAGAGAGAAATTTCCATATAATGAATTACTGATCTCACTTTCGGTGAGTTTGCCTTCTTTGATTGGACAAGGCATTTCTGTTTCTTCCGAACCCCTGACAATTAGGCAAAATAATCGCTATAAATCAGCGACTGAATCACATATTTGTACTTGATGTTACAGTCTACTAATCACAAATTAGTCACATATTTGATTTGTTTCACATATGTTGATCAATCCAGTTCACCAGTCTAAGATATGTGAGCGTTAGGCAATTTCCTATCAATAAGTATTGCAGAAAATGTTGCGGATATTCCAAACTTTCAGCGAGAGACAGAGAGTTATTTCAAAGGCAAATTGTTTTATATTTTTGCTTTAGAACCTGTGTGATTATCACCCACTACAGTTATATTTGGGCAAAATGGCATTACATTTTCCCAAGATACGCCAACTGCTCAACTTGGTTTGAGTCAGTGCCTAGTTGAATATTGAAGAGGGGACTTAAGCGATGTAATCAACTTGTGATATGAAGGGTGTTCAATTTGCTTCAGTTGTCCCTCAAGAAAATACGTGTACTGTCGATTCTGTCACAAAATGCCTCATAGTTTCAGATTGGTCCATCTACTTTCTAAATGCACACTGATCAAATTATTACTAGTCTGTAAGAAGACAACAGAATCCATCATGTTTCTATCCGAATAATAAACCAACTAATAACGAGTATCGCAATAGCACCTTGTCCACATTTTACACTTATATCTTAAAGTTAATTTGTCAAGATAAACTCACTGACGATTTCATGCCTCAATCTAATCTTTACATGTTTTAGGTCTTATTATGGTCTTTCGCATTACCTGCTGTCACCAAATCCATGGGATTATCAATTTTTGCACCATGGACTATTACAATCATCCTAGCTGTGGTGACACTGTTGTTTGGATACAGAACTGAGAAACGGAGTACGAAAGTGAGCATCACACTATTGGGCGTCGCTGGTGGAATCACAGTTCTGGGTATCACTGTATTAATTGCTTTCAGAATTACCGGGCGTGAAGTAAGTAGTGTGTTATTCTTTGAATCAGTAACTTGACATGTAATTGTCCCATGTGGTTTATATAGTGTCGATAAATTACTATTTCTTGCGTAACTGGTCGTACGTTCTGCGATTCATTCTATTCGAACATTTGTCAACAACGTAGAACACGCCACTGTATTGTAGCAGAACTGTCCATTAGTCAAATTTCACTCAGTTATCAAACGACATATCAACTATAAGTGGAAGCTCCGAATTGAATGATTTATATTTCTTCTATGCCTCTTATATCTTCATTTTGAGCTTCCGTGTTGCATCACAGTTAATTTCATTTCACTTTTTTGCAATCTCATCCATGCCTGTACAGTTCAAGATTCATGAGTTATATATGAATTTACGTATCACTTTCAAATTTTCCTCAATTGCTAGCGACACATAACATTTCCATATACACGAACTATACAAGTGAAAAACTGATGAAATCTCTTATTGCATCAACCATCTATTGCATTTCAGTAATTTAAATTGTGACCGATTGCTGTCAACTTGACCTGGTAGCCTATTTTGCATATCATGGTGACACTGTGAGCTACACTGTTTGCGCTGAATGTTACTGCAGGTCGTGCCATGACACAAAGTTTGTTCTGATAGCGTTAAGACCAAGAAAGTTATCGTCATAGTGTAAATTGTTCGCATTGTGTTGAAGGTCTTTAGGTGGAGTTGTAGCGATGGGGAGTCAGAATATAACAAAAGTATGGTGTCTGCTTCAGATGAGTATCAAGCTGGCTCTCCTGACTTTTCACCCTGTCAAGTGAGAACTAGAAGAGATCGATCCTGGATATTGGGCATCCGACTAATCATGCGGTGCCCAGCAGCTGGCGGTTAGATCTTAGTACGACAATCAAGCGGATTAAGTGTGTAGCTTATGTATTTCAGCAAGTGATATCATATTTGTCAAATCTATGATAAAGATTGAATTCTAAATATTCTAACAATCTCATCAAATTACTAACAGGCCACCTGTACATTGTATAGTCTTAGTGATTGATTGATTGAAGGGGCTACTGACGATAGCTGGCGTGACAATAACCACCAATCACTACACATATTATGCCGTCAAGCTGTGGATAATATGGAACACAGATAAAGAGTAGGAAAGAAGAAAATAAAAGTACTCGTATAATATAAAAGACAAATCGCTAATTTACTCTTTGTCCATATCACTTTCTATCTCTTACTTACAGGTAACTGCAGTTATTCTGTCCGGCATAATTTTGGCTATCGCTGTACTCCTAGTAAGTCAGATGGTGAATTTTGTGAATATTCATCGGGCTTAGCATGTTATATATTCTTTATGCCATGAGTAATTGTCCATTGTTATCACACGGATATATCATCAATACACGCCTCCGCATCCAGTGATGCATTATGTTGCATGTGTGCGGAGGTGTGACTTCTCTTTCTACTATGAAAACACTTCTCTTAACCTTGGTTGACTGTATACTTTTTTGTTATTTAGGAATTTCGATTTCTTCCTACTCTTGTTTAGTCACATCATCAATAAACAGACGTCTTCGTGCATGTGTCCTGTATCTAACAAACTGGAATAAACTTATTTCATTTATGTATTACCAAGTTGGCCATGAATTACGTAATCCTATAATTTGATTACCTCAACATATTGTTGCTAATGTTGAAAATATGTTGATTTCCGAATCATACCTCAGTTTGAGAAAGTCATGTGAATTAAGTGAATATCTCTTGGCAGGAAGACCGTCAGTCGAATCAATATACGTGCAAAAACTTCAGGACAGTGATTTTCACATTTTGAAGTTTGCGGCAATCTCCCTGAAGGGGTCATTCATATAACTTCCGGTGTTTTCATATTTTGCTTCTCTTTGATAGGTGTTATATCTCACTGGACAAGGTATAAAGCGGTGCACAATGAGACAACGAAGACCCTCTATCGATGTGGTTAGCTCTGATTACTTGGGCAGGGAGTGTTTATTTATTCATATCCATAGCTGTGATGTTTATAGAAGGCAGGACGGTGACACATCATCAACAAAATAATCATGTCCTCCTCTTTTGAAACAGCATGGTGCTTTATGCATGGAAAACATTCACCTGTTTATCTCTTTTGTTGGTTCAGTTGTCAAAATGAATCATATCTGAAATAAATTCTGGAGTGATGTATTTTGCGTTTACTAATAACGGATGTAGCGATTTTACTCATGTGTCTAATGGTGATACACCATCTACTACGTGTTATAGTATGAGCAAATTTTATCTTGAGATAAAGAAAGTGATAAGAAGTTGCAAATGCAATACTCGTGTTTACTTACTGATAAATATTAGATATAAATTAATGGTGGGTTAGTTTACATATATATTGCATAGTTCGAATGTTTACCAACTGTCATCATAAGGAAGGTTGTTATGACTATACTACTGACAAAATGTGAGCATTTACCAATAATAATTCTGCACACAAATAAAGATCTAGGGTTCCATTGATCTAACTCAACCGAAACACTCCTCACATGACTGAACCCGGGAGCGCTAGCGATTTAGTCAGTAAATTGTCTTAGTCTAACAGCCTTAAACTGAATCCTTCTAAATGTCAAACTGTTAATTTCAGCTTAAGGTGTAAAAGACAGTTCAAAGAAGTCATCGTTCTCATGACAGTTGTAAGATTGACGACAATGATATAGGAATCAAATCAGAAATTAAGAATTTTGGACTTATTCTCTCTTCTGATCTCTCCTGGCCTTCCATGTCTTAGCAATCTCCAGTAAAATATTCCGCCATTTTATATTAAGAAGTTAAGACACTCAAGTATAATTCAACCCGTCCTCTTACAGTTCATAAACTCTTGCATCCTACCTATTCTTCTTTATTGCTCACCCTTATTCTTTCCTGGTTTGCTTAAAAAGACTATGTCACAATTCGTAGAATACTGAAGACTGTCAGTAGGGTGAGTGGTGTCCCAGTGGACCACATAGTTAACGTCATTGTCGATAGGCACTTGACTTCATGCAAGAAATTTGCTAAAGGGATTTTGTCTGACTTGGAGCATCCGCTTTACCCTCAGCTTTCACCTTGCATCTCCTCAGGTAGAACAACGGGTAACTTCAGAAAACGGTATGCTCGCACGTCTAAGTATAAGAAGTCTATGATACCATACTTGGCATGTATTTTATGTGATGAAAATAGTGTCAGGCAAGAATGAAGTAACCATTTTTCATCTAGTAAATAAACAATTTCCTCCATCCATCCTAATATACTTTCAAGTTTTACTTTTATTATTTCTATTTTATTTATGGTCCTGTTACTTCTTTGTTTTACTCTCATAATTGCAAACACCAATTTATCTCTACGACTGCTTTAATCTTTGTTTTCCCCTCACCATATCATGTAAAGAGAACATTATATTCAATATATTTAAAAAAAACTAGGATTTCTATACCGCATTGCCAATACTGTGTGACACAAGCTCACGGCAATTTTCACTTGTATTATTATTATTACCTTAGCTGAAACCGATTCCAGATGGTTGTGTGTGCGGTATAACGAAACTAAAGAAACTCAAAGCATCCTCAAGTGGGCTAGACTTTGATTCACCTAATGTGAGGTCGATTCCGTCTGACCTTTTTGTTTTTGAAAAAACTACAAATTTAGTTAAGAAAAATATATTCCTTATCAGTTAGATCCTTATCACTAGCTCTACGCCAACACATACTTCGTGTGCATTTTATTTTCAACACAGTTTCTACGAAGGTCCTTGGAAAGGCTCCTTACAGCAGCTAAGCTAAACTGTTTATTCAATAGCCAAACAACCAATACTCAGTTCAAGAAATAAAGACTAACTGCCCTGTTTAGTTCTTTCTGTGTGTATTGATCAGTTTGACTTCTCAAGTGGAGGTAATTACACTAGGCGTACGACCAGAACTAGGCCCGATGAATTCTTAACGTGGTTCAATACTAGCTCATCTCGTGGTTACTGGACATCAAGTTGACTTTAATGAAGCTTTGCAAGTCACTGATCGTCTTCTACCCAGGCATTCAAACTGCTGTACTAGTATGACTATCACATATTGCAGAAGTAATCAGATTTCATTTGAACAAATCAAATGTGTATGTGCTCGCAGATTCTTTTATTGCTGTGGCCAATCACATAATATGTATTGTTTCAAAAATTGATTTTTTTGCCTCCTTTTATAACAACACTTTTACTCTACTATTTTATTATGATTACAACTCTGTCTTATTCTGTTAATGCGTTTGTGCCTAATGTGATTTCACTGAGTCAACCTATTCTTTTTAGCTATCATTATTTTATATATGTCTCGATTATGTAATAAACTGTTGATAAATCCCACGAATTAACTGACCTTGAATTCTATATTTATATTCACTATATTTCACCGTCCATACACATGGAATTGGTCACTTTCATTGACTTAAGCAATCACACTAGTGGTGTCATTTTTATGTAGAACTATGTAGAGACGAGTCTGAGGAACTATCTGAAGAGAAATGTACTTTTTCTCTCAACTCAATGTCTTCACTGAATGTTTAAATGTGAATTTATTTCAGGCCTGAATTTAGATTTGTGTCACGAATAGATGAACGCCGTCTCCTTATAATGCAATGCGAATTCACCTTCTTGTGTTTTCAATGTTATACCTCTCGAAAAGGTGAAATATTGGAAGTACAGACTTAATGGAGAGACATTCAGTAAGCAGGATGTCATATAAGTGCTACATCAGTGTGAGATAAATATCCCATTGTAATTGCAGCAGAACAATTCCATGGAGTAAAGTAATTTCCCGAATGTCTAGAAAATATTTGACAAGCAAAAACTGAACAAGTACCAGAAATTATGAGGCAACTGTTTACATTCAGCTAGTTAGCGTATACTCCGTCACATGGCTCAAAACAACACTTGAGCACTTCATAGAGCAAGGCCTAACTCATCCTTGTCTCCTTTGCAACCCAATGCGATCATAGATAACATT